TGTCGGGGTCCGAGGGAATCTGGGGGGGCTGGAGGCGGTCATTGGGGGTTTTGGGGTGCCCTGACCCCTCTTCCCCCCAGGGAGCCTCCCAGCGCTGGTGCTGCAGCACTCCATCACCCCCATCTCGCTGCCCTGCACCCTCCGCATCCCCCACGCAGGTGGGCACCCCAAAGGCTGCGGGAACACCCCAAAACCCTGCGGACACCCCAAAACCCCCTCAGGGATCACCCCAAAACTCCCTCAGGGACCCCCCCCTCCAACTGCAGGTACACCACCCCAACCCCTTCCCGAGACACCTCAAAACCCCCTGGGAGAAACCCAAAACCCCCTGGGACCCCCCAAAAGCTCCAAACTCCCCAAACTCCCCTGGGAAACCCTCTAAACACGAGGGAACACCCCAAAAACCGTGGGGACACCCCAAACCCCTGCGTGGACCCCCTGAACATCCACTGGGACACCACAAAATCGCGGCTCCTCCCCCAAAACCGCGGGAACCCCAAAAACCGCGGGAACCCCAAAAACCGTGGGAACCTGCAGAATTGCAGGGACACCCCCAAAACCGCGGGAACCCCGAAAAGCTGGCGGGACCCCTCAGAGTCTCCTCCAGCCCCCAAAATCCCCTCAGAGTCCCCCCCAGACTCCCCTGGTCCCTCAGCGTCCCTGCCGGGACGGTTTCTGGTGGGACCCGGGGGGGGGTCCGGCCGCCCCCCCACCCTGTGCCTTCCTCCCCAGAGCTGCAGGAGGAGCCCCCGGACCCCCCGGGACCCCCCAATGTCAGCACGGCCGGAGCCCTCCTGCGGCAGGGGGCAGGTGGGGCTGGGGGCACCGGGGGATACTGAGGACGCTGGAGTGGGGGCACTGGGATGGGGCATTGGCATGGGGGCACTGGGATGGGGCACTGGGGCGGTGCAGGTGCTGGAGTTGGGTCACTGTGGGGCTGGCATCGGCACGGGGGGCACTGCGGGGGCAGGTCCCAGTTTCGGGGCGCTGTTCCCGTTTTTGGGGCGCTGTTCCCGGTTTTGGGGTTCTGGTCCGGTTTCGGGGCGCTGTTCCCGTTTTTGGGGCTCTGTTCCCGGTTTCGGGGCGCTGTTCCCGTTTTTGGGGTGCTGCTCCGGTTTCGGGGTGCTGCTCCAGTTCTGGGCAGCTCCCCCCGTTGCTCCCCAGCCTGCTCCGTGCTGTTCCTGGGCTCGGTGGGCACCGAGGCCCTGACGGGGCCCCAGGCTGTGGCCAAGGCCGTGGGGACCCTCCTGGAGGGGGCCCCGAGTGCGGGGGGGTCCCCCCGGCCCCCTCCCAGCCCCGTGCACTTCAAGGTGTCGGTGCAGGGGATCACCCTGACGGACCGGCAGCGCAAGTGAGGCACCCCCAAACCCAGACCCCCCATGACTCCCCACCCACCCAACCCCCACAGCTGGACCCCTTCAAACTGAGATCATCCAAACACCGACCCCCCAAAACCACCGACCCCAGGCTGACCTTTGGCAGGGCCAGAAGGGGTTCTCCCACCCAAAACAGGGGCAGCCCTGTACCCCCAAAAGGGGGAGACCCCCCTACCCCTTACCTTGGGGATCTGGATGGGCAGGAAGAGGATGGAGCCGTCGAAGGCCATCACGTCCCCGGTCACGGAATGCTGCTCCTTCAGCATGGCAAAGCGGGCAGCCTTGCACTCCACCTCGGGGCTGGGGGCACACAGGGGCTTTTCTCCCTCCTCTGCCCCCCCCCAGACCTCGCTCAGCCCCCCAAAAATCCCCCCTGAAGGCGAAAACCCAGAGCTCTTTGTTGTGCTCCACCTCATGGCAGCCTGGACAGCAGGAGGCACACAGAGGGCTCTGCCAGGGGACACCCCAACCCCGAGGGGCTGTGGGGGACCCCGGCCCCCCACCATCACCTGAAGGTCACGTGGTACTGGTAGACAGCTTCGTTCTGGCAGTGGATCTTCACAAAGTTCAGCCCCACGGGGATGGCGGCTCCCTTCGCCACCGCCTTCATCCCCTGGGCCCTGCGAGGGACAGGGGGTCAGCAGCAACCCGGCAGCACCCCAAAACGCGGGGCTGGGGACGCCACTCACGGCCTGGCAGCAGCTGGGGGGGTCTCCGGGGTGGGCACGGGCGTCGGGCAGGGCTGGGGGCCGGGCGGGCGCGGGGCGGGCACGGCGGGCACGGGACGGGCACGGTGGGCACGGGACGGGTACGGGACGGGCACGGGACGGGCACGGGGCGGGCACGGTGGGCACGGTGGGCATGGGGCAGGTGAGGGGGGCACGGGGGGCACGGGGGGCACGGGGGGACCCCCAACCTCCCAAACCCCCCCAGACCTCCCAACCCCTCTAACCACCCCCAGGTGGGCGAACCCCGACGGGACCACGGCCAGGTATGTGGGAGACCCCCAGAACGGGACCCCCGGGAATGAGGGGGGGGCACAGATCTGACTTTGGCCTTGCCCCTCCCCCCCCGCCGGCCCCCCCAGGATTTTCGGGTTCGTGGCGAAGCAGGCGGGGGCCCCGGGGGGGGGCAACGCGTGCCACGTGTTTGCGGAGCTGGACCCCGAGCAGCCGGCAGGGGCCATCGTCACCTTCGTCACCAAAGTCCTGCTGGGGACGCGGCACTGAGAGACACCGGGGACCCCCCCTGCGCCCCAAAACCCAGCTGGGGACTCCCGAAGCCCCCCGAGGCAGGGGGGGCTCAGGGGCACCCTCAAAACCCAGCGGGACTCCCCCCCCTCTTCACCGAGGTCCTGCTGGGGACACGACACTGAGGGACCCCCAGAACCATCTGGGGACCCCCAAAACCTCCTGGAGTCCCCCGTGCCAAGGGGGGGACAGGGGGACATATAACTGACCCCCCCCACCATCATCACCTTTATGAACACCCCCAAACCCCCCCTAGAACCACCCCTGGACCCCCCAAACCCTCCCAGGCACCCCTGATTCGAGGGAGCACAAGGGGACCCTCCCACCATCTTCTGCACCAAAGTCCTACTGGGGAACCCCCAAACTCCCCCTGAGACCCCCCCCCAGACCCCTCAAATACTCCCCAGACCCTCCAACTGCCCTTGAGGACCCCCCAAAACCTCCTACACCCCCTCCAACCACCCCCTCAAGTGAAGACGGGGAGGCTGGCAGAAAAGGGGGCACAGGGACACCCCCTGCAATCTGGGGGGGGTCCTGGAGGAACCCCAATAAATCCACATTTATTTTGGTGTAAGAAATGGGTTTATTTGGGGGGGGGGTGGGGGCATGGGGACCCCCACCCGCCATGTGCAAACGTCAAAGGGGACCCCAAAACCAGCACAGGGGCTGCCATGGAACTGGAAGGGTCTGGTTACATTCATGATGGAGGGGACCCCGAATTCTGCCCCTTGGAACCCCCCAGGAATGGGGAGCACTGGAAGAGATGAGGGGGTGCAGGTGTGATCTGGGGGGCACTGGGGGGGGCAGTGGAGTGGGAGGGTCAAGGGGGTGATTTGGGGGCTCTGGGGGGGCACGAGGGTCACCCATTGTAGAAGGAGCAGGACTGAGACCCCCAAATCCACCTGGGGGGGTCACTGGGATGATCTGGGCGGGGGGGGGAAGGATTGAGTCCCCCAAAAACACGGGGGTGGGTCCCCAAAAATATGGTGCAGGCCATGGCTGAGACCCCCTCAAAAAACATCTAGGGGGGCAACAGTGGGGTACTTTTGAGGGGGGATTCAATTAGGGGAATCCCCTCCCCCAAAGAGACCCTAAAAGAGTGAAATTATGGGGTTGGGGGCAGAAGTGAACCCCCTAAAAACCACCTTGGGGGGGTCTCCACCGTTGTGGAAACATCCTAAAGTGCACTGGGAAGGCCTGGGGGGGCACCAGGAGCACCAGAGGGTTTCAGGTTTTGGGGGGTCCCACACGGCCCCCCCCTTTATCCGCTCAGGGGGTGCAGGTCCACCTTGACCCTCTCGCCAGTGCTGAGCATCCCCACGGTGGGGAAGAGCCCCCCGGGGGGGACCCCAACCTCCCTGCGCCCCACGACCATCCCGTTCCGTGTGAAGAACACCTGGGGGCAAAAATCAGGGGGTCACCCCTAGACTGGGGGGCGGGGGGAGACCCCACCCCCCAAAAAACCCAGGGGATAAAGGGGAGAGTAAAGCAAGGAAAGATGAGCCAAAACGGGGGTGCAGGGGGATTTTTGGGGTGAGGGGGGGTTTTGAGGGGGCACAAACACATGGGGGAGGGGGTTCAGGGATACACAGCAGAGTCACCCCAAAATATGAGGGGAGGGCAGGGAGACCCCAATCCCCAAGAAAGTGGGGGCAAAGAGGGTGACCCCAGCGGCAGGGGGGATTTTTGGGGTGATGGAGGGTCCAGGGGTGGGGCACAAATACGTGTGGGGATCATAGACAAAAGGGGGTCACCCTCAAATATTAGGGGGGCAGGACACCCCCAACCCCCCCAAAATCCGGATGTTGGAGCCCCCAGATGATTCAAAAGGATGCCAATGATGGACAAAGGAGAATTTTGGGGGGAATGAGAAGGTTTTTGGGGGGTGGGGGCTTTTTTAGGGCACAGGTTTTTTTTTTTTTGCGGGTTGTCCCCACCCTTACCACGACCTTCCTGCCCTCCTGCTCCTGCTCCATGTCCTCCCCATCCTCTTCTTCCTCCTCCTCCTCCTCTTCCTCCTCCTCCTCCTCCTCCTCCAGGTACATCACGTTGCGCACCTTCACCTTCACCTCGGGGGGCTCCGAGGCGTCATCGCTGTCACCTGGGGTGGGCAAGAGGGTGAGGGACCCCCGCCGAGCCCGGCCAGCCCCGGGGGGTCCCCAGCCCCGCGGTACCTTCGCTGTCCCGGCCGTAGTCCCGAGGGAACATGATCCCACAGCCCATCACGTCACCCTTGTAGCAGCGGGGGCCAAAGGGATCCCCGACCCCGCTGCCGTGGAACAGCTTTCCATCGTCTGGAGGGAGACCCCGAATTAGGGGGACCCCCCCAGAGTTCGTGGGGGAAACCCCAAGACACCCTTCATGGGGGTGCACCCCAAAGAAAGGGGGAGAAGTGGGCAGAGAAAGGGGTTACAGGTGGAGGAGGGGGGGGGAAAGGGAGAAGGGGACAGCTGGGGACGGGGGTGCACAGAGGGATCCCCGAATCCTGTCATGAGAAGGAGCCCTCCCATGGGGCTGCACCCCAAAAAAAGGAGAGAAATAGGCCTGAGAAAGGTGGAAGGAAGAAGAGGGTGAAGAGGGTGAAAGGGAAAAGGGGAAGAAAGGAGCGAAAAGGGTGGAATAGGGGGAGGAAGAGGCCATAGGGACCCCCCACTCCCGAGGGGCTGGAACCACCCGTCCTCGTGGGAGTGCACCCCAAAAAAGGGAGGAAACTGGGCTGAGAAAGGAAGAGGATGAAGAGGAAAAAGATGGAGGAAGGGAGAAGGGAGGAGCCATGGGGACCCCCCAGATTAGGGGGAATCCCCGAGGTCATGGGGGAGACCCCCAGACCCTCGTTATAGGGGTGAAAACCCAAAATAGGGAGGAAAAATGGGAAGGGGGTTTTCAGGGGCAGAAAGAGTAGGAGGAGATCCCACTACTGGGGTCCCGTGTTTGGGGGGTCCGGCATGTAGGGGGGTCGCACCCATTTTGGGGGGTCCCCCCCACTTTTGGGGGGCTCACCCGCGTGGTAGGCCACTGAGCCCCTGCTCCAGCCAGGGTGACGATTTTTGGGGTAATCCTGAGGGGGGGCAAAGGGGAGGAGAGAGGTGAGGGCAATGTGGGGAGCCCTGCCCCCCCAAACTCATAGATGCCAATTCCCCCCCCAAACCCTTATTTTTGACACCCCCCCCACCTTTCAGCCCAGCCCCAGCCTGGTGGAGAGGTTCAGCCCCCCCATACCCCAAATCTGAGCCCCCTCCCCTCCTTCCTTGACCACTCCCAGCCCTGGAGGAGTTTACAGAGGGAGTAAAGGGGGGCTTGAGCCCCCCATTACTGACCCCCACTTCTGACCCACATCCCCCTACTTCCCTGCCCCCCCCCAGCTCCGTGGGTGTCTCCAACCCCTCCAGCCCCCCCCCGGTACCCCAATTCCGAGTCCCCCGCGCACCTTCCTGGCCACGCCCAGGGCGATGTAGCACTTCTCGCCCGGGTCCAGGATCTCCAGCTCGAAGTAGTGGCTGCGGGGGCTGAGCGGCCGCCGGGCCTGGGCCAGCCCCACATCCACGATGCTCTTCCCCTTCCCCACGTACTCCAACACCTGGGGGGGCGCGGGGGGGCTCAGACAGCGGGGAAAGGGGGCACCCCCCAACCCGAACCAGCCCCAGATCCGTGAAATTCATCCCCTTCCTCATCTAAAAACAGCACCTGGGAGGGTTTGAGGGGTCCCAGGGGGATTGGGGGATCACAAGGGCTGAGAGGGGCAGTCATAGAGGGTCGGGGGGCACACACAGGAGATCTGAGGGGCCCAGACTCCCGATGTCGCTGCTGGGACCCCCTTTACCCCACCCCTGTGTCACGGCTCCCCTTTTTGCCCTCCCCAGGACTGGGGAACCCTCTTGTCCCATCCCCAAAACTGTTCTTACCCAAATTCCCACAGCCCAATTCTTCTCACCCCATAACCTCAATTTCTGACCTCCCATCCCAGGGAGGGGCTCCACCCTGTTCCAACCCTGCCCCCTCATTCTGAGCTCCCTCCCCAGTCCTGGGGGAGGCTCCAGCCCCCCTTTTCCCCCCCAGCTTTCCGGGTGCTCACGGAGCCGTAGAGCCGCACGTCGTGGAGCCTGCCCCACTCTTCCTCCAGGCTGTCTACCAGCATAGCCCCCCCCTCATCCTCGGGGGGCCCGGGGGGGGGCAGATGCAGCCGAACCTCCTCGCCCAGCGAGTGCAGCCCCACGGCTGGGAACAGCCCCGGGGGCGACAGTGGCACCCCCAGACCCCCCACCTGCAATTGAGGGAGTCGGGGGTGAGGGGGGCTCAGGGATAAGGGCACCCCCAGGACCCCATGTGGGATTTGGGGAAACACCAAAGTAGGAAGTGGGGGGGCTCTGGAGGCTTTGGGGTTTCAGAACATTTGGGGGCCCCCCCATTCTCTGTCCATTCTTCGTGAGGAGCAGCTGGGGGAGGGGTAGAAGGACCCTGGTTTAGGGGGTCCTGGAAGGTTTGGGGTGCCCCGGTGAGTTTTGGGGGTGCTCTGGGACAGGGTGGGGATCCCCTCACCCTCTGGCCGTTCTTGGTGAAGAAAACCTGGGCTGGGGGGGCTCCGAACGAGCCCCTCTCGACGCCGCAGCCGATCCGGTCCCCAGAGCTGCACTTGGAGCCGAACTGGCGCCCCTTGGCCCGGCCACTGTAGAGCCTGGGGCACCCCAAAACGCGGGAGGACCCCGAAAATGGGGGGGTCAGAATAGGGGGGTGTCACTAATGGGGGACCTCAAACCTGGAGCAGACCCCAAATATCGTGACAGGCCCCAGTGCCCCTCCAACACCTCCCAGTCCTGCTGCCCCCCTGGCTGCCCCCAATATCCAACACCCCCAGGGTCCCAACACCCCCCAATATCCAACACCCCCAATATCCAACACTCCCAGTATCCAATATCCTCAATATCCAATACCCCCAATATCCAACACCCTCAATATCCAACACCCCCAAGGTCCCAACACCCCCCAATATCCAACACCCCAATATCCAACACCCCAATATCCAACACCCCCAATATCCAATATCCTCAATATCCAACACCCCCAATATCCAACACCCTCAATATCCAGCACCCCCCAATATCCAACACCCTCATATCCAACACTCCCAGTATCCAACACCCCCAACATCCAACACCCTCAATACCCAACATCCCCAAGGTCCCAACACCCCCAATATCCAACACCCCAATATCCAACACCCCCAATATCCAACACCCCCAATATCCAGCACCCCCAAGGTCCCAACACTCCCCAGTATCTGACACTCCCGAGGTCCCAGCACTCCCCAATATCCAACACTGCCCAATATCTGACCCCCCTAGTTTCCAGCACTCCCCAGTATCCCGACATCCCCCTGCTATCCCGACACCCCCGATATCCCAAAGCATTTCCTCCTTCACCTCACACCCCAACATTGCTAACGCCATGAAATTCCTTACTATCCCAACACCCGCAATTATCCCAACGCTTCCCCGCTAGCTATCGCGACATCCCCCAGTACCCGAACGATCCCGGCCCCGCCCCCGCTATCGCGACACTCACTTTCCATCATCGGCGTGGTAGGCGACGGAGCCGGGCCCCCATCCCGGGGGGTGCTCGAGGCTGTGGCAGTGCGGGACCAGCCCCACGGCGATGGTGCCGCGGACCCCGCTGTCCACGATGGACACCTGGGCAGGGGCCGAGGGGGTCAGGGCTCGGCGTCCCCCGGCACAGCCCGCGCCCCCCGCACCCCCCGCTCACCTCGAAGTAGTTGCTGTCGCGGGTCAGCGGCCGCGGGGCCACGTAACAGCCGACCTCGCCCGAGGGGCCGCGGTAGCTGCGGGGGGCGCGGGGGCTGAGACAGCCCCCGACACCCCCCGGTACCCTCAGACCCCCCCGGATCTGTGGGTGCCCCCAGCCCCCTCCCATCCCCCTGGGTGCATCCCCCCCGCTCAGCCCCTTTTTTGTGGGTGCCCCCAGCCCCCCCAGCCCCTTCTGCGGGCTCTCCCGGGTACCTGAGGGTGTCCCCGTCCACCAGGATGTGCCGGGCTCGTTCCTGGCAGCGCAGGCCCCGGTCCCGGTCCCGGTCCCGGTCTCGATCCCTGTCCCGGTCCCGGTCCCGGTCCCGGCCCTCCCGCACCTCCCGGATCTCCCGGATCCGCCGGCGCCAGTTGAGGAACCTGAAGTGCAGGTTCAGGTCATCCATGGCGGGGGGGCTCCTGCGGGGAGGCAACGCTGGGACCCCCGGAAGAACGGGAACCGACACACCCAACACCCCGAGTCAGACATGAACCCCCAAATCCCGGGATCCGCTAAAACCGCCCCCAAACACACCCCTGAGACCCCAAACACACACCTGAGACCCCAAACACATCCCTGAGACCCCAAAACCGCCCCCAAACACACCCCTGAGACCCCAAACACACACCTGAGACCCCAAACACACACCTGACACCCTAAACACATCCCTGACACCCCAAAACTGCCCCCCAAACGCACCCGAGACCCCAAAACCGCCCCCGAACACACACCTGACACCCCAAAATTGCCCCTCAAAACACACCTGAACCCACAAAACTCCCCCCAAAACACACCCAATGCTCCAAATCATACCTGAAACCCCTAAACATACCTGACTCCCTAAATCACACCTGAACTCTCAAAATCAATCCCCAAAACACACCTGATGCTCCAAAACGCACCTGAGCCCCTCAAACACACCTGACTCCCTAAAATACACGTAACCCCCCCAAAACCCATCAGGTCCTCCAAACACACCTGGACCCCCAAAACACACCTGAACCCAAAATACCCACCTGAGCCCCCAAAAATGTCTTCCTAAACACCCACCTGAGACCCCAAACACACACCTGACCTCCCAAACCCATACCTGGCACACCCAAACACACACCTGACTCCCCCAAACCCACACCTGGCATACCCAGACCCAACCTGGCACACCAAATCACACCTGAGATCCCCCAAAACTGCCCCTCAACACACCTGGCACACCCAAATCCCACCTGACACCCCCAGACCCACACCTGTCACACCCAAATCACACCTGGCACACCAAAATCACACCTGGCACACCAAATCACACCTGACCACCCAAATCCCACCTGACACCCCCGGACCAACACCTGGCACACCCAAATCCCACCTGACACCCCCAGACCCACACCTGTCACACCCAAATCACACCTGGCACACCAAAATCACACCTGGCACACCAAATCACACCTGACCACCCAAATCCCACCTGACACCCCCGGACCAACACCTGGCACACCCAAATCCCACCTGACCACCCAAATCACACCTGAGATGCCCCAAATCACACCTGATCCCCCAGACCCACACCTGGCACACCCAAATCACACCTGCCAGCCCACCCCTGAGCCCCCCCACCATGCGACCCCTCAGACCTTCCCAATTCCGCTCAGGACCCCCAAATCCCTCCCGTATTCCCCAACGCGGGGTCTCCCCGTCCCCCCAAAGCTCCTCAGGACCTCCCCAATCTCCCCCAGACCCCCCCGGCCCCCAGCGCCCCTTACCGGGGGTCCCGCCCCCTCCATGGGCCGCGCTCACATCCGGGCGCCGCTCGCTTCCACCTCCCTATGCCCGCCCATTGCGCTCCACGGACCAATCGACACCCGCTGCGCCAGGACTGACGGCTCCCTCAGCCAATCGGAGGACGAAGCGGGCGGAAGGCGGAGCCTAGCGGGGAAAGCGGGGAGTGCGCGTCGAGGTCACGTGACGCTGCGGGGATGGGGCGAGAGGCGCAAGGGCGCCCCCTGGAGGACGGGGGAACCGGGGGCAACTGGGGAGAACTGGGGGGGACTGGGAGGAACTGGGGGGGGACTGTGGGGAATGGAGGGAAGTAGGAACACAGCTGGGAACTGGGAAAATTGCAGGAATGGGGGGGTTACTGGGAGGACTGGGGGAACTGGAGGATACTGGGGACACTGAGGGGGCTCAGCTTGGGGTCAAACCAGCGCAAAGCTTGCACTGGAGACGTGGCTGGACTGGGAGTCACTGGTTTGCACTGGGGCCGCTCTGGAGGGGTTTCAGGGTCCCCCAGACCCAGGTTTGGGGGGCAGGAAGAGGAGGAGGACTTCACAAACACCTCTGCTGGGTGGGTTTATTAGAAATTCATTAAGTAATTAATACACCCCCCCACCCCCATGACACCACACGGGGTCGGTCACAGGCCACACCTGGCCTGGTGTCCCCATGTCCCCTCTGCTGTGCCGTGGGGGAGGTGGCACTGTGACCTGTCACAGCCCCCGAGGTGTACCGGTGTCCCCATCACCTCGTTATGGGGGTGACACCGTGATCTGTCCAGCTCAGTGTCACCTCAGGCTGTCCCCGTGTTGCCACCCAGAGCTCGTTGTGGGGGTGGCACTGGTCACGGGTCACCAGCAGAGCTCTGTGTCACCATCGGGGTGTCCCAGTGTCACTGTCACCTATATTTCATCATGGAGGTGACACTGTGACCTGTCGCAGCTTAATATCACCAGTGGGGTGTCCCAGTGTCACTGTCACCCACAGCTCAGCCATGAGGTGACACTGTGACTGTCACAGTTCCTTGTCATGATCGATCGGGTGTCCCAGTGCCACTGTCACCCACAGTCCATCGTGGGGTGGCACTGTGGCCCCTCAGTGCTCAGTGTCCCCATGGGTGTCTCAGTGTTTCTGTCACTCACAGCTCAGCACAGGGGTCACACTGTGACCCCATCACTGCCTGGTGACCCCATGGGCTCTTCCTGTGTCCCTGACCCTGTCACACTCTGGTGTCCCTGTTGAGCTGTCCCAGTGTTCCTGTCCCAGCCAGGTGTTACTGTCCTTGTCCCTGTCAAATCCCAGTGCTCCATCAAGCTGTCCCTGTGTCCCTGGTGTCCCCATAGAGCTGGTGCTCCTGTCACTGTGACATCCCAGTGTCTCCCTTTCCTTGTCACATCTCTGTGTCCCTGTCACACCTGTCCTGCTGTCCCTGTCCCACCCCAGTGTCCCCATTCCTATCACACCCCAGTGTCCCCACCAAGCTGTCCCTGTCACACCCTGCTGTCCCCATTACACCCCTGTGTCCCTGTCAAGCTGTCCCAATGTCCCTGTCCACCCTGGTGTCCCCACCAAGCTGTCCTAGTGTCCCTGTCCACCCCGGTGTCCCCATGGAGCTGTCCCAGTGTCCCTGTCCCACCCCAGTGTCCCCACCAAGCTGTCCCAGTGTCCCTGTCCACCCCGGTGTCCCCATCGAGCTGTCCTAGTGTCCCTGTCCCAGCCCGGTGTTCCTGTCACACCTTGGTGACCCCCTCACACTGTCCCAGGGTCCCCACCACAGCCAGGCGTCGCTGCTGAGCTGTCCCAGTGTCCCTGTCCCAGCGTCCTCGTCACTCCCCAGTGTCCCCCTCGAGCAGCCCCTCGTCCCCCACCCTCAGCCCCTCGTCCCCACGCCTGGTGCCCAGGACCCCCCCGGCTGCCCCCAGCGCCACCAGCGCCGCCAGGGCCGCGGCCCCGAAGACGCCCCGTGTCCCCGCGGGGTCCCCGGGCAGGGCGGGCAGCGCCAGCGCCACCCCCAGGCCCAGGGGCAGCCGCAGCCACCGCGCTGCCCCCGCCGGGTCCCCGCCGCGCTCCAGCCGGCGCCGCAGGAACGCCATGGCCGGGAAGTAGATCCCGCAGGAGAACTGCAGCAGCAGCACGGCGAGGAAGTCGCCGGGGGCGTCCAGCGGCAAGGCCAGGAGCAGAAGGGCCAGCGCCAGCAGCAGGACGGAGCCGGGCAGGAGCCGCAGCGGCTGCAGCCGGAGCCTCCCGGTGACGCCGCGCCGGAACAGCGCCGAGCCCGCGGCGCCGGCGGCCGTGAAGCCCGAGAAGGCGATTCCCAGAGGGATCCCGTGCGGCTCCAGGACGGGCGTCCAAAGGAAGGCAAAGATGAGCAGGATGCTCTCCACCAGGGCCTGCACCAGCCCCAGGAGCAGCGCCCGCGGCTCGGATACGAGGCCCCGCAGGCCTTCCCCGCAGGCCTTCCCGCAGGGCCGGCTCTTCCCATAGTTCTCATCCCAGTTTTTCCCAGCGAAGATCCCCGAGAGAGCCAGGAAGGGCAGCGCCGCCAGGAACGGGGCCACGGGGCCCAGCGCCAGCCCCTCGGCCAGCAGCTCGGCCAGCAGCCCCGCCGCCACGGCCAGGCCGCCGTTCCAGAGCGCCACGCGGGAGAAGGTGTCGGGAATCCACTCGGCCGGGAAGTCGTGGCGCTCCAGGTGCTCGTGCACGTACCAGGACTCGAAGGCGGAGAAGAGCAGGGAGGTGCCGAGCCCCGCCAGCACCCGGGCAGCTGCCAGCGCCAGGAAATCCTGGGAGAGCTGCAGCAGGCAGGACACAGAGCACAGCCCCGAGGACAGCACGCAGGACTTCTTGCGGCCCAGCCGATCCACAAAAATCCCGGAGACGAGGCCGAAGGCGACGTTGGAGGCGAAGCCGCAGGAGTAGAGGGCGGCGATCTGGCTGCGCAGGAAGCCCCGGCCGTGCAGCAGCTGGAAGAGCAGCGGGCCCTGCAGCCAGTCGGCAGCCAGCGCCGGCAGGTATCCCAGCAGGAACTGCCGCTGGAAGCCGCGGAACGCGGGATTGGAGGGCGGAGGGCGGCGCGGGGGCGGCTCCAGAGCCAGGCAGGTGAGGAGGAGGAGGGCGAGGGCAGAGCAGGGCAGCAGGAACATGGTGGGGAGGGGGCTCAGGAGAGCCTGGGGAAGGAAAAAACGAGATCAGCACTACGCGGAACTGGGAGAGTCCAGAGAGACCACCCAGGTGCCCCAAATTCCCCAGACAGCCCATGGGTTCTATAGGGACACCCCATCCCATAGGCACCCACAGCATCACTGATACACCACACAGTCCCCCACAGCTCCTCCACAGGCCGCACCACTCCTCCAAGCCCACCCAGACCCCACAGAGCCCCCATAGACCCCAAACCCCCACCGGAGTTCCCCACAACCCCCCCCAGACCCCCATAGGACCCCCCAACAGGCCGCCCCCACACGCTCCAGATCCTCCACGGGCCCCACATAGGACCTCCATAGACTCCCCATAAGATCCTCACAGAACCCCCACACCCCCCCCATGGGACCCTCGCACCCCAAATCCTCCTGAAGCCCCCCATACACCCCCTACAGCCCCATACAGCGCCCCTTCCACTCCCATAGCCCCCCGCGACCCCAGAGTTGACCCGCAGGACCTCCCCAGACACCTCTCAGACCCTCCGAAGCCCCTGCACCCCTTCCGGTAACCCCCGGATCCCTCAGGGCCCCCCCATACCCCCCGGCCCCGGCGCCGTCGCAGCTGCCCCGCGGTGCCTCTGTGGAGCCACTTCCGCTTCCGGTCCCATGGGCGCCGCCATGTTGGCCCGTGTCACGTGACACAGGGGGCCCACCGCCCCCCAGAGGTGTCCACAGAGACCCCCAGAGACCGCGGGGATTGGTGGAGACCCCGCCAAGGGACCCCCACACAACGCACGGGGCATTGTGGAGACCCCCAGCGCTCCCCAGAGCACCCCCCGCGGGGGGTTTGCGGCATCCCCAGCCCGAAGAACCGCCCCCGCCACGCACGGGAGGTGTGGGGACCCCCGCCCTCAGGGAGCTCCTGCCGGGAGCCTCGAGCAAACCCAGGGGGGTGACAGCGCGGGGACGTTCCCCCGCGCCGGCGGGGCCGGGGTCGCGGCCAGCCCAGCCCCATGGCCGAGCCGCCCCCCCCGCAACCCACGGCCCCCCCCCCGGGGATTTACCGGGCAAAGCGGCTGAGCGGGGGGAGCGGGGGGGGCACGTGGCGGCACCCGTGGGTGAGGGACACGGGGACATGAGGACACGGGGGGGGGCACTGGGGACACGGGGGAGCACTGAGGACTTGGGGGACACGGGGGGGCACTGGGGACACGGAGGAGCACGGGGGACACGGCGGGGCACTGGGGACACGGGGGAGCACTGAGGACACGGGCGGACACTGGGGACACGGGAGACATGGAGTGGACATGGAGGAAACTGGGGACAGGGAACATGAGCTTGAGAGGGATGCGGGGACACAGGGACATGGGGCAGCACAGTGACACGGGGGGATGCTGGGGACATGGAGGACATGGGGATGTGCGGGGTCATGGGGAACACAACTGGGGGACACAGGGGACATAGGGGTGTACAGGGGACATGGGACACAGGATTATGGAGACAGGGTAGGGCACAGGGGACGTGAGGGACAGGGGACACCGTGGGGACACGATTGGGGGGAGGAAGGGGTTATGGGCCATGGGGAGACACGCAGGACATCGGGGACACGGGTTTATGGAGGTCACAGGGAACACGAAAGTCATAGGGCGACATGGTTGGGTGGACCCAGGGTTACGGGGACTTGGGGGGCAGCGGGATTGCGGGGGGAGGCTGCTGGGGGGGACACAGGTTAGGGACATGCGGGACACGGGGGGGGCGTGGTGGGGACACGATTGGGGCTCACAGGGAATTGTGGAGCCGTGGGGGCTGTGGGGAGACATAGGGGGACAAACGGGGGGACGAACGGGGGACAGAGGGATTGGGCCAGACACACGGTGTGGGGGGGTCCCAGCGTGGCGGGGGCAGGGCCGGGCCGCACAAAGGGGCCATTGAGCCGCCGTGGGGGAGGGGCGGGGAGAGGAATTTCCACCCAAAACTTTTTCCATGAGCCCATTCCTGCCCCTCCCTCCCCTTTCCCGGAACGGGGGGAGAGGTGCGGCTGGGGGGGGTTACATGTGTGTCCGGGCATGGGGACGCGTGCGTGCATGCATGTGACATGCAGGGACACACCCCGCACATGTGTCCCCGTGCCCAGACATGCGTCTGCACGCTGGAGGCTGGGCAAAGGTGTGTGACACATGCAGTGAGATGTGACCATCCCGTGTGCAGGCGTGTGACACGCGACCATCCTGTGTGAAGGTGTGTGACCTGTGCAGTGATCCCATGTGCAGGTGTGTGACCTGTGCAGTGATCCCATGTGCAGGTGTGTGACACGTGCAGTGATCCCGTGTGCAGGTGTGTGACACGTGCAGTGATCCCATGTGCAGGTGTGTGACCTGTGCAGTGATCCTGTGTACAGGTGTATGACACACACAGTAACATATGACTATCCCATGTACAGGTGTGTGCATTGTGCAGCGATCCCGTGTGCAGGTGTGTGACACGTGCAGTGATCCTGTGTGCAGGTGTGTCACCTGTGCAGTGATCCTGTGTACAGGTATGTCACCTGTGCAGTGATCCCGAGTGCAGGCGTGTCACCTGTGCAGTGATCCCGAGTGCAGGTGTGTTACTCATGCAGAGCCCCAGAAATGCAGTCGGGCAGGCGGTGCTGGCACAGCCCTCGCACACCCGGAGATGCCCAGGCACACCCAGACACAGCTGCGCACACTCACACATACCTGTGCACACCTGGGTAAGCTCACACACACCTGGGCATGCTGACACACACCTGTGCACAGTGGGCACACGGGGGAGTGACAAGGGGATTGGAAGGGACTGGGAAGGACTGGGAAAATGATGTGGGGGACTGGCAGAACTGGCAGGACTGGGAGGGATTGGGAGGGTGACAAGGGGACTGGGAGGGACTGTGCAGGGCTGGAGTAGTGACAGGGGAACTGGAAAGGACTGGAAGAACTGGGAGGACTGGGAGGACTGGGGAGACGGGTGGTGACATGAGGACTGGGGTGGAATTGGGAGGGACTGGGGAGGGCGTGACGCGGGGACGGGGAGGTCTGGGAGGGCTTGGGGGAGACAGGGGACGTGGCCTGGGTACCCCCCAGGGAGGGAGGACACACGGAGGGGACAAACACGTCTGATACCGTGTGACACATGTGACACGTGTGTACGCGACACCGCGTGTCCGCGCCCCAGGCCGCACCCTCTGCTCCAATCCCCGCCCATTCCCCATCCAGCCCCGCCCACGAGCTCCGCCCCTCACTCAGACCACGCCCCATTCAAATCAACCCCGCCTCCGCCCCGCCCATCCCCGAGGCCACGCCTCGTTCCTATTCAGCCGAGCCACTCAAGGCCCCGCCCCTTCCGAGCCCCGCCCTCTCAGCCCAGGCCGTGCTCCCAATTTAGCCCCGCCTATTTAAACCCCGCCCATATGTCAGCCCTCACATTCCAANGTTCGCGAGTGGGTGTGGGGCTGAGGGGGGCGGGGAAGCGCGGCCAGGTGTGAACTGAGCGTGCAAATGGGTGTGAGAGCGAGTGCGGGTGGGTGCGTGGGGGGTGTTCGTGTCGCGAGTGGGTGCGAGGGGTGCCCGGGAGACCCTCGGGTGCCCAAACGAGCGAGTGCGTGTGCACAGGAGGCGAGCGTGCGCTGGTTGTGCCCCCGCGGGGGCGGCTGCGAGTGGGTGTGGGGAGCGTGGGGGGGTCGGGGCCGTGGGGAGGGGTCTCCGAGAGTGAACCCGAGTGTGCCAGCGAGTGTGAGAGCGAGTGCCAGGCTGCGTGAGCCGGCGGGGCGGTGCGGGGGCGGCCCCGTGTCCGCGAGTGGGTGCGTGGGTGCGCCGGGAGCTGGGGTGGAGAGCGCGCCCGGGGGTGTGAACGCGCGTGGGAGGGGGCGAGGGTGACCCGGGGGTGACGCGGGGGGTGGCGGCAGTGACGCGCGTGGGTGCCGGAGCGGCCTGGGCGTGTGCGGGAATGACGCGAGGGGGTGGCCGGGGGCGTGTGCGCGGTGGGGGGCGAGTGCGTGGGGGGGGGCACATCCCCAAATTCTCCCCAGGAGGGTCCCGGGTTGTGGGGGGGCAGGGTCCCAGGCCCGTTTTGCACGGGGACGTGGGGGCCACACTGGGGGAGCCCCTTTGGGGGCTCCAGGGACCTGGAGCCTGTTTTTGCGGTGGTCGCGGTGTCCCGGAGCCCTTTGGGGGGCAGCAATAGAGACCCGGTATTGGGGGGGCACAGGGACATGGACTACACAGAACCGCTCTTGGGGGAGTCGGGGGCCCCGGACCCTGCTTTGGAGGGGCTCAGGGACCCCGAACCTTGTTATTTTGGGGGGGGGGGGTCACAGACCTCTTTGTGAGGGTAGAAAAAGGCACCCGGTTTTGGGAGTGCCCATGAGGGGGGTCCTGGGGATCCCACAGGAGCCCTCCGCATGTCAATCTGGGCGCAAACAGGGTGAGAGGGGAGAATCCCCTAAAACGCCCCTAAATCCCCCCCTTCCACCTCTGCCAGTGGTGCGTTGCCTCCTCCTGTGTCCTCCCCCCTCCCAGTTCCTCGGCCTAACTGGTTCCAGTCGTGGCCGCGCCCGCGTCCCCCCGCGTCCCCCCCGCGCTGCCAATGTGGCACTTTAACCCCTGCGGGGCTGCCCCAAAACCGCCCGAACCCCACTTGGCGGGGGGGAGGGGGCCCTTCTCAGCAGGGCGGGGGGGGCGTCACCCCCCGGGTTTTGGGGGGAACCCCCGTGGCCCCCCCAAATTCCACCCTGGGCGGAGGAACTTCCCCCCGCCCCCCTCAATTTAAGGCCTGATGAGAGGCCGCCCCTTGGAGCTGGGAGACCCCAAAAAATCTGGGGCCCCACAGAGTTGGGGCCCCGCGGATGTTTTTGGGGTGCTGTTTTTTGTGGGGAGAGGATGCTTTAATTTGGGCTCCTCCCCCTTCAAAAATCAAACTTTAAGAGAAAACACGCACGGTGGGGTGCACCAAATGTACCTGCACCCCCCAAATGAAACCCCCTCCCCGCCTCAACCCTCTGCGTGGCATCCCGAGTATTGTTGGGGGGGGGTCACAGCCAGCCCTCCCCAAACCTGGGGTGCGCACGGGTGGGGAGCGGAGTGTGGTCCCCAATTTCGGCCCCGTTTTTAGGGTGGGGTCCACCCCCCCCGGGTTATTTTGGGGTGCCCGTGGCACGCGCTGGGCGGGGTCCCCCTCGCTCCCCCTCTCCCCCGCGGTTACAAGCGCGCCGCTCGAGGCCGGAATTTCCTCAATTTCAGCAATTTTGGGTTTTTTTTTAGCAAAACACACAAAACCTACCCAAAAAAAAAAAAAAATCTGAAACCAGCCGCCCCTCCCCCACTGCCGCCCGGGCTGCGCGCCGGGGGCTCCTCCCTCCCCCCTGTGTCACCCCCGGCACTGCGCGGGGGGGATTTGAGGGGGCTTGGGGACCCTCCTTCCCCCGGATTTTGGGGTTGGAGAAGCTGGGTACATCCCCACACCAGGTGCTGGGGATCGGGGGGAGAGGATGCACACTGATATGTCCCCCACCCATGGTGGAAACCCCGGATTCCAGCCCCCTCCCAGCCCCCGATTTAGGGGTTTTGCAGCTCAGGTTTTAGGGCCGTGGAGGTGACAGTGAGACCCCCAAAATCACACGCCCCCGTGCTTCGGTTTCCCCCACCCCCCACTGTAGGCTGGGGCCCCTTTGGAGAGCGGTCGAGAGGGGCTGTTTAACTCCCCTCACCTTTTCCCCCCCAGCCCTGGAGCCCTCCCCTGGGCGGGCTTTGGGGGACACGGGCCCCCCCTCGCCACCGCCCCCGCCCCGTGTGCACAAGCCTTGCTTCGTGTGCAGCGACCGCAGCTCTGGGTACCACTACGGAGTGAGCTCCTGCGAGGGCTGCAAGGTGCGGGGGGCCGGGGGCACTGGGGACCTCCCGGGGCAGGGGGGACCCGAGACAGTGGAAACCCCGGGTGGGGGGCACTGGGGACCTCCCGGGGCAGGGGGGACCCCTGAGACAGTGGAAACCCCGGGTGGGGGGCACTGGGGACCTCCTGGGGCAGAGGGACCCCTGAGACAGTGGAAAACCTGGGGGAGCAGTGGGGACCTCCCCGGGGTGGGGGGACCCCTGAGACAGTGGAAAACCTGGGGGGAGGGGCAGTGGGGACCCTGTGATGGGAGTGGGGGGGAGTGGGGACCCAGCACTTGGAGGAGGGGGGTCCTGGGGACACTGTGGGCCTGCCCCAAGAAAAGGGGCCCTCTGCAGGCAGTGGGGATCCACTCGAGATAGGGTGACCCCTTGGGGGATTGGGAATCCCCCAAGCACTGGGGAGCTGTAATGGGGGCACCTGGGGACATCACGGACCCTGTGGGGTGAGTGGGACCACGCCTGGGGGATGGGGACCCCTTCCCAGGCCAGTGGGCACCCCATTGGGAGCCCCCCAAGCCCTGTGCCCCACCCTGGGATACTGGGGAGCCACTGAGGAGCTCCACTCCAAGCACTGGGGAGCCCTACTGGGATCCCTGGGGATGTGATACTGGTGCCCTCAGTTTAGGGGTGCCCCCCTGACCCCCGTTTTCCCACTGCAGGGGTTTTTCCGGAGGAGCATCCAGAAGAACATGGTGTACACGTGTCACCGGGAGCGCAACTGCCAGATCGACAAGGTCACCCGCAACCGCTGCCAGTTCTGCCGCCTCCAGAAGTGCTTCCAGGTCGGAATGTCCAAGGAAGGTGCGAGGGGGTCTGGGCCGGGGTCCCCTGAAGTTGGGGACCCCCCCCAAACATCACTGAGGGGCCCTGGTGGTGTCCCTGTGGGCCTGGGGATGTTCCTGCTCTTGGGAGGGATCTGGGCTGTGGAAGGGACTGCTGGGTGTGAGGCTTTCCCCCCTTGGTCCTGCAGGGGAGTTGCCTAAAATTGAGACCCCCCCCCAAAAGCTTTGCTGAGGGGTCCCAGGGTCCTGAGGCTGCTCATGGTGGGGATGTTCCTGTCCCATGGGGAGATTTTTGGGGGAGAGGGCAGGAAACCCCACCCAGGAGGGATCTGATGGGGCACACCAATGCCCCCAACCCCCAAATCCCACCCTCCCAGCCGTGCGGAACGACCGGAACAAGAGGAAGAAGGAGGTGAAGGAGGATCTGGGTGGGGATGAGCTGAGCCCCGAGCTGGCCGAGCTGGTGCGGAGGGTCAGCAGAGCCCACCAGGAGACCTTCCCCTCTCTGGGCCAGCTGGGCAAGTACACCACGGTGAGCAGGCTTGGGGGTCTGGGGGCACCAAGGGGGGGCCCCAGCCCTCGGATCTGGGGCAGGGTCGCTGCTCCCTCCTGATCCCCCCAAACATGAGCACTGGGGGCAGCTGGAGCTGGGGACATGTTCAGGGGGAGTGGGGCACCAGGGGGTTTTGGGGGTCCCTTTGGGGCTGACCCTAACCCCAGCCCTCACATCTACAGCTGGGTCCTTGTTCCCTCCTGACCACTCCAAAACATAAGCACTGAACACTGGGGGGGGCGGGGAAACAAGTTCAAGGGGAGGGGGGCACTGGGACAGAGCACTGGGGGTCGTGGGTGGTGTTTGGGGGGCTACTTATTGGAGGGACCCTAACGCTGGAGCTCAGAGTGGGGTCTCTGCATGCCCTGACCCCTGAAACCTCAACTGCTGAGTAAGGGGGGCAGCTGGACCTGAGGCTGGGGTTGGGTTCAGAGGCTGGGGGTCACTGAGTGCCAGCAGCTTCCAGGGGACCCCAGCAGGTCCTGAACCCCCATAACTGAGCCTGTGTCCTTCATAAATTGGGCACTGACCACATGGTGCAGCTGGACCTGCGGGTTACTGAGACTGGGGTCTCAGGGGGTCCCAGTGGTCCCAGGGAGTCCCAATCCACCCTGAACCCCCATAACTGAGCCCATCCCCCCAAAACTTGAGTGCTGACCACTGGGTGCAGCTGCACCTGGGGCTGTGGGACAAGTTCAGGGTGCTGGGGTTGGGGTCCCAGAGGTTCCAGGGGGTCCCAGGGGTTCCTGAACAATCCCCTAACAGCTGTGGCCCCCCCCCATGCCCCCAGAACTCGAGCGCTGACCACCGGGTGCAGCTGGACCTGGGGCTGTGGGACAAGTTCAGCGAATTGGCCACCAAGTGCATCATCAAGATTGTGGAGTTCGCCAAGCGGCTCCCGGGCTTCACGGGGCTCAGCATGGCTGACCAGATCACTCTGCTCAAGGCTGCCTGCCTCGACATCCTGGTGAGGGTTTGGGGGGCTCCTCAGGATGTTTGGGGGCTCCTCACATGGGTTGGGGGGCTCCTTGAAGGAGCTTGGGCTGGCCCACCATGGTCCTGAGCTTGCCATCCCACAGACCGATGTCCTGGAGAGGGGCTGGGTGGGTTTGGGGATCCCTTTGTGGGAAACTTTGGGGTGCCTTAGGTGCTTTTGGTGATCTTGGGCTGTTTTGGGATGTCCCTGTCCCCTGGTGCTGTGTCTGTCCTGTGGCAGAGCCAGAACAGGACACGACAATGCTCCAGGATGGGCAGATCCTGGGTGGATTTTGGGGTCTCTGCTGTGCAGATGCTGTGGATCTGCACCTGCTTCATTCCAGAGCAGGACACAGTGACGGGATGGGCTGACCCTGGGTGGATTTTTGGTGTCCCTGGAGGTATTTTCTGGCCCCTTGGTGATTTTGGGGTCCCTGCCCTGCAGATGCTGCGGATCTGCACCCGCTACACGCCGGAGCAGGACACGATGACGTTCTCGGACGGGCTGACGCTGACCCGGACCCAGATGCACAACGCGGGATTCGGGCCCCTCACCGACCTCGTGTTTGCCTTCGCGGGGCAACTGCTGCCGCTGCAACTCGATGACACCGAGACCGGGCTGCTCAGTGCCATCTGCCTCATCTGTGGGGGTGGGGACATGGGGGACATTGTGGGGACATGAGGGTGTGTCAGGGCTGCGGCGGGCAGGGGGACATGGGGACACAGGACTGAGTTGTGGCTGCTCAACTGCAGAGGTGGGGACACGAGGGGATACTGGGGGGAAATGGGATCTCTAGGACAGAAGATGGGCATTTGGGGACACAAGGACAGGGGAGATGGGGACAATGTCTATCCAGGTGGTGTCTCTGTCTCCCCAGACCGGATGGAGCTGGAGCAGCCCCGGCGCGTGGAGCGGCTGCAGGAGCCGCTGCTCGAGGCTCTCCGGGTCTATGCCCGGCGCCGGCGCCCGTGGCAGCCGCAGCGTTTCCCCCGGATGCTGCTCAAAATCACTGACCTTCGTGGCATCAGCACCAAGGGTGAGCAACCCCCAGAGCCCCGGGGCACCCCCAAACTGCGGCAACCCTGCCAGGACCCCCTTGGGATCCCCCCCAAAACCCCCTAGCCACAGTGACCTTCCCAAACGCTGTTCAAAGTCACCACCAAAGGGGGCAACCCCCAGACCTTCCCAGGACCCCTCCAGGACCCCAAAACCCCTCAGGACACCCCCAAACCTGCCCCTGGCACCACAGGATTTGAAGCTCTCAGGGAGGCACAGATGATGGTCCTGGGTGTGTTTCAAAGTTTTGAGGGGGGGTTTGAAGCTCATTTTGGGGGTGTTCAGGGTATCTGGGGAGGTGCCAGGTTTTGAAGGCATTGAAGCTTTTGCAGGGTTTTGAAAGCTGGGGACTTTTGAAGTTTGGGAGGGCGTTGAAGTTCATTTTTGGGTGGGATTCAAAGCCTCGGGGGGATTCAGTCTCTTGTGGGGTTTGTCCAGGCTTTGCAGCAATTGAAGCTCATTTTGGAGGTGTTCAAAGGTCTTGGAGGGGTCCGAGGTTTTGGGGGTTCAGGGTTTTGGAGGGGGTTGAAATTTGAGAGGGTGTTGAAGCTCATTTTTTGGAAGGGGGTTCCATCTCTCAGGAGGGGCCCGAGGCTTTCAGGGGTGTTGATATTTTGGCTCCCCAGGGGCAGAACGAGCCATCACCCTGCGCACGGAGATCCCGGGGCCGATGCCCCCCCTGATCCGGGAGATGCTGGAGAACCCCGAAATCTTCACCGAAGAGGGGCGGGATGGCCCCCCCCCAGCCCCAGACCCTCCTGCCGCCCAGGACAGTCCCCCTGGCCCCCCCACATCCCCATAGCCCCCCCCAGCTCGGGGGGGATCTCCAAAACTCGTCCCCAGTGGGGTGGGACACTCAGAGCTGCCTTCCAGGGAAGCTGCTTTCCCCTTCTCCCTTTTGCTCTGGGGAGGGGGAGCTCCCCAAAGTGCCCCCCCCTCCAAATTTGGGGAAGGGGGCAGAGACTGATAGAGCAAAGCTATTGCCTTAAGCTGCGGGAGTCTGGGGGCGCCCCCCAAACCTCAGCTTCATGCCAAAGCCCCCTCAGACCCTGCTGCCACCCCCCTTGTACTGGGGGAGCTGTGAGGGGGGGGGGGGGGTTCAGGGGCCCAGCCCCTCCCCACCAAATTAATGCCTGACACTCCCACAGTGCCCCCCCCACGGTTTATTTATTGGACACAGGGTGGATTTGGGGGGGGGACACCCCCATTATCCCCCAGGACATCCTACCGCCCCCCCCCCCCCCAAATCTGGGGGGGGGACACCGTTTATATTGGGGGGGGGCTGCTTGTGGGTTTTGCTTTTTGATGCTGTTGGGGTAGAGAGGGAAACCCCAAAATTGCCCTCCCCGGTGCCCCCCCCAAACACTACAGAGACCAAAGATGGGGGACACAAGGTGACCCCCACAACCCCCCCCAATTTGGGGTGGGGGCTCAAGCCATAGGGTGACCCCAAAATCCTGGGGGTCCCCCCAGACCCAACTGCCCTCCCAAATCTCTGTTACCCCCAGCCTGGCTGGGTTGTAGGGTCTGGCCTTACTGGCCCCCCCCTGCTGCCCCCCCGCTAACTCCCCCCTTTCTGGGGGTCCCCCTGCCATGTTTACAGCCCACCCGCCCCCTCCCATGCTGGGGGGGGGGACACGGGACTTTTCTATTTTTGCAAAATAAAGTTATGGAAATTTTGGGGGGATCATGAATTTGGGAGGGGGACTGTAAAGGGGACTTGGTGGGGGGGGGAGAGGGGAACCTTGGGACCTCCTCTGAGGTGAAGGGGCACCCCTAGGGTATGGGGGGGGGCATCTGGGGTCCCCTCTGACTTAGGGACCCCTCCAGGGACAAAGGGGCTACTTGGGAATCCCTCCCCAATTGGGGGGACACCCCCAGCTATAAAGAGGGGACACCTCTGCTCCCCTCCCCAGTGCAAAAGCCTCATAGTCCCTAAGTAACCTCCCCTGACTTTGTTTGGCATGAGTGGGTTCTGGGGTCCCCCCACACTGCCCCAAAGGACTTAAATTTGGGGTTAAAAAAAGCAAAAACCCAAGTTTTTATTTAAATAAACCCTAAAGGAGGAGAGAGGACACACAGTGGGGGGGGGGGGGACCGTGGGGGGC